AGATCGGCTGATCCTTAAATGTCAGGATGGGCTTTATATGCTTCAACTGTATCGGGTTTGGGATGTTTTGAGGTATCTAGAACTTGATTAATCTCTCTGCAGGTTCTGGTTATGACTTTAAAAAAATTGCATCACTAGCAAAAACAATATGAGACTTGTTTTCTATAAGATTTAGAAAAAGTAAAATAATTTGTGGTGTTTTATTACCACAACTTATCTCGAAGGGCAGGTAGTACACAGACAAAAACCATTTTATTCTGTTTATGAACAGTAGGTGGGTAGAGCTGAAGAAGTTTGGCTCTGGTGTTAACTCTAAAATAAAATGAACACTGCTCTAAATTCTTTGCCCTACTCCAAAGAGCTCTTCAGGGCCTTTGGCATGCTGTAGCTAGGTCTGCACACACCAGTTCCCARGAGCTTCATCTTTTATCTGTGTTTTCTAAAAATATATATACACTCGATTATCTGTCCCTGTGCAGGAGTTAGCTTTCCTGCAGGTTTTTCTAAATAGCAGTTCTTATTTTTTGCTCTTTGTAAGGATGGAAAGTATATTAGAAGGGAATGATTTTAAAAGTAAATTATGTTSCTGTAATGATATGTTAGAGAGAACCTATGATAGTAGTGTTAACTCCTCCCTTACCTCACTTGTTTTTGGTATACAAGAATTCCAATTTGTCTTTCCATTGTTTTTGTAGACTCTATTACCATATTACCAAATATACAGAAACTAAATGTTCTTTGTCTTTTTGATCTCTATCACACAGTAAAGATAGTGTCAGAGTTACATAGAAATGTATCTCTTTTCCAGAAAAGTGTATTTATTTAGAGAACCATTTGCAAACACTCCATATGTTTATGGATGTGTATCATCTATATGAGCCATATGCGTATATATATATGTATCCATATGTATATGATCCATATGTTGGTCACTGAAGCAGGCAACCCTTATCTAAAAGAGGCYCACATAAATAATACTGTAAAAGTATAAAAGACATGTATCAGAGAGTAGCTAAATGAACACTGCCTAATGAAAGAATGATAAACATATTTCTATTAATTATCTCAAATAGTGATTATATTGGACAAAGCATTGAAAGGAGACTCAAAAGATCATACTACTGGCAAGCGAAAATTTACATATCTTCTTGCCTCAATTTCCGCATCTATAAAGTGGAGAAAATGCGGTTTACTTCCTTTGTAAAACACTTTTGTGATTTAATGTTGAACAATGTTGTATATGAAGTGAATATCTACTGAACACAGAGACAGAAAATCAAGGTGAGACGTTGTGTCTAACAAGTTTCCAGAGTTTCCTGAGAGGCTATATAAATTGCAGCCCAAACTTTGTAAGTGCCACTAATTCCTTCCAGTTTATTCTTAGTCTATACTGGCTACACATTGGCTATGTATTAGTTAAATTTATTTACAGAATGAATTAAAGTATGCATGTATATATTGCAAGCAGAGTAGTTGCATTACCCAAACAGAAAAATAAAGTATTCGAATTGTAGGGAAAAACAAAGACTTGACTCAAAAACTATCCGTTGTTCTTCCTTTGTCATTTTGCATTGGCACGCTGATCCATCATTACATCACACAGGATGGGTAGGACAAGTGTTCTTCACCAGCATGATGGGCACAATATATCATTCTCTTTTCCAACAGATCCTACATAGATTTAGTTCTAAAAATAGAAAATCAGTCAGAAAACCAGACAGAAAATCAGTTCCACACTTCTCATTTCCATGTCCTAGCCCAGTCAGTCAGAGTGGTTATTTAGAACATCTTCCACAGTAGATCTCACAAACTCAATGAGCTTGACAAGCACAGACAAAATAGAAATTATGACATATGAAAGGCCGCGGAGGATTATGTTGCTGCTCACAACAGCTTCCCTATGGTTTACCATTTCCTGCTTGATTTCTGTCTTTCCTTAGTTTCCAGAGTTGCTAAGCCAATTTATCATCAATAATTTTTCTGATTGTATTGTCTAAAAATAATTTAATGCAGGTCAGTCTCTGTTCTTATATATCTCAAAATCTTAACATTAAGTAATATATATTACTGGGGACTTGTAGAGGACTTCAACAGTGTTCAACAGTGGTGTGTATATCTAAGAGAAGAATAGAAAAAAATGCCACTTTTTTATTATGATCCAAGGGGGGGTATCCTTGGTAAATATCCACAAAAAATGTGTAAGAAGAGGTGATAATTGTTGCTAGAGGAGAGGTCTACAAATTGGTTAGACCACCATGATGCTACAGTAATACCTGCATTTAGCATTTTTAGAGAAGTATATTTGTTAATCCATTAAGATTTATTCAATTGCATTTATATGGAAAAAGAATGTGCGTCAGAGAGTGTTGCTTAATATTAAATACAAGCTGTAGTCTTAAGTTTTGACATTGGTCAGATTGTATTTCATTTCTCCCTCTAATTTCTGGGTAATACATCATTTGAAGCCAAATACTTTTGTTTATGYGTAAAAGCCAGAAATAGGAAAAAAATCCCTGGCTTTTAACACAGTTCTAGAACCCAAGACTCAATGTCTGTATGCAAGCATTTATTAGGGATGATTATAGGTGTGGTGAATTGTGTCTCATTGGATATAATGTTGAATATCTGTGTCAATATGCATATTAGGTTATTCATATGTGCTAGTTTATATGCAGAATGATAATGTCACATTCATTTCTTGGCTTCAGTGCATTAAAATTCTCAACCACAGTGATTCATTAATGACTTTATTGCTCTAATAGATTTCAGTGAACCCCAGTAAAAGAGTGTTAACTGCCATAAGTAGATTTTTAAAGTTTAGATATAATAATCTCAAGTTAAAATATTTAATTATTTTAATATTGTGTGCTTTCTAGACCCTATAAGGGACATGAATTTAAGGAAGTGACATATAAATGAAGACTGATATTTTACTCACAGAGGTTCAGTCAAAATGATACATCCATTACTGTTAGAAATGAGTTACAGTCAAATTTCTAACAAAATTTAGCTCATCAAGATTGATAGACAAAACTCCTATCTTGTCTCTGAATCAAATTAACCCTTCCATCTTCTTATCTTCTACCACTGCCAAAGTGAAGTCCAGTAGCAAGTGGACAACATGATGCGATCTCCTATGAGGAGGGAACATAACAAAAAAATGATCACAACCTAGACCATAGGGAGCAGTCTTTCACCTGCTCCTGGACCTAACTGGAATAATGCCATGCGATATGGTCCTTGAGAGAAACGAGGTCCTCAAGAACTGGTTGATTTTCAAGGATCCTTCCTCCAGGCTCAAAGATAGTCTAGCTTGATAAGCAGKAATTCAAACAGAGGCAGCAGGAAGATTGCATGGATGAACAAGGTGCTCCTTGCAAACACAAACATAAAAAGGAAGCAAAGTAGAGGTGGAAACAAGGACAGGTGAATTGAGAGAACCATAGAGACACTGCTTAAGCATGGGTTAGAAAAACCAAAGTCCACCTAGAGATGGATCTGCCAACAAGGGACAGCAAGAAATGCTTCTAGAAGTACAACTTGTTCAGTCTGAGCTTTCTCAGGCATGACAAGTCAATACTTCTACTCTGCTGAATAAAACTGAAACAGTAAGATGCTCTTATTTTAGTATCCAAATGGAATGTACTGGATGGCAGTTAGAATAAGTCTCTCCCCAGTTGTAATTTAAGCAGCTAGATAGGAATATCATTGAAAGATAATAAATGTGGAAATCTACAACACTATTTSCCACCACTTTTCACTATGGGACTATATTATGAAAGCCACTAGAAAACTGCTCTTGTCAATGAAAAGCCAACTAATTCCTATTGTGAAACATCAGAGGAAGAGTTTAAAGCAACTTCTTTCTTGAAGCAAAATGGGAATGCAAAGAACGAAACTGTGCTGCAAAGAGATGCTACAAAATATGTCATATTTCAAAATGATATCATCTTTTATATACGTTAAATCCATCAAATCCACTAAGAAAGGAACCTCACTAAAGTTGCAGTGTCTCACACTATAATTCTAATATAACTCTGTGGTGAGACAGACTCCTTCATCCCACCAGAGAGGAAAGGGTTAAATGATCATTTCTAAGACCTGTGTTTCTGCTAGTCTTAATGATTGCTCATATAGTCCCAGGTGGTATATATTGGTGTGTGGGTGTAGAAGATGGTTTAGATATGTAGGGTATTTTGCTTTTCCTCACCTAAGTAAGACTATAAGGGACTCACAGCAGTGGCAGCTCTTGCAAAAGTATGAGAATTTTCTTTCTTGTTAATTGGCAATCAGTTTAGGTTTTGAAAAAAGACCATAACAGACAAAGGACAGAAAAAAAGAAAAAAAAATCACACACAAAAAAAAAACCCAGCTGAACCTATGGTAGGACACTTCTGGGTAGGATCTGCACATCTGAAAAGTATGAGAGGCTGATTGTGAAATGCTGTGGAGCTGGAGACTTTGCTGTGCTGGAGGTTGCCTGTGCCAGCTTCCTTGTGCAATCTTTAGATACATAATCTCATATTGTTTTCAAGTACAAGATAATAACTTAATGAGCAGTGATCCAAGTATTTTGTTTTATCATATTCAATGTGTAGTCCCAGGCCATGCTACGTACTATTTACTATACACTGCTTAAATGCTGTGCTGAAGGCAAAATAATTAAGCTCCTYCTGGGCTTTTCGGTAGTGTTTATTGCTGTAGGACTGGAGTGCCTCATGATGTAAAATAAATTGCCACCTTAAAGCATGTTTGTTAGGAAGACTGTATCCCTATTTCCAAGTATAAAAAAATATCTGGCATATTGCTTGTGCCCTATTTAAAATACCTCAAACTGGATTTAAGCACTAACCAGTAGAGTGTCCTTTCTGCTTATGTTTAACTCCCCTTTTCTTCAGCTGCAAGTAGTTAGCCACTCTGCTATCTCAAGGATGATATAAACAGGTTCACCTGGGAGAGGCTGGTGCAAAAGCTGCCTCCATCTGGGGGTGAGCTCTGTGGTGGACACAAGGAGTTAGATGTAGTTATATAAATTAGGTTTTTGGAGGTGGTTGCTATTTGGTTTAGGYTGAGATTTTTTCACGCTTTGTGGAGAAGACTGTTTGCAGTTACCAATGATCTTTGTTGAGGTAAGTAAGATTATAATTTTTTTTTTTTTCCTAAGTTTCTTAAAAGTGGGGGAGCCCGACTTCCTTTTTCAAAAGCACCTAAATTGTCTATTGACTTAAGTACTTTTAGAAAGTTATTTTCTCTTTTATCCTGCAATTACAATGATAAAGTATTTTCTTTATCAGAGATGAAAGATTTCAATTTGAAAGTTGTGTGTGTAATTTCTAACAAGACTTTCTTTTCCCTATTCCTTTTTGTCTATTATGTAACAAAACTGAAACCTTAGAGAAAATGAATAATTTTAAAGGCAACAGCTCACTAACTTTTCTGCTAATTCTGCTGGAATYTTTCAATTTTATTGTTTTAGTTGAAGCACTAAAGTGAATCAGACTGAGAGAAAAATACTTACTGGATTTAGAGCAATAACTGGGTAGCTTGTTCTAGAATGTTCTCGAAGTCTGTATGAAATGCACTGTGGACAAAGATATGCCTACTGAGGTACCTTATGCTACAGACCACTGTAATTGTAACAAATCACCAGAGCTGAAAACTGATTATTTGTAAATAACTGCCTGTGTTTTGGTATATAAGCACAGATTCTTACTAAAAAAAAAAAAAAAAACCTTTATTTACTTGTGAAGACTGCATAGTTAAGGATAACGATTAAGTTAGCTGGTTCTAGTCCATCTAATATATGCTCTGTAGGTATTCTGTAAGGCTAACTCTTAAGCCTCTGTAAAGCTAACTTTTAAGCTGGTTTCATGCAATATGGATTGACTATAGTTTATGGAAGTGCAGGTATCTTACATCTGTAAGATTTAACATTTTCAACTGCTCTTCTAGTTTTAAATAATAAAACAATTTTTGATAAATGTCATTTTTGATTAAAATCATTTTGACTGGCATTATTTATGTTCCCTCTTTTAATTCTTTATCAGTTGAATCCCTCATCAACTGCTTTCTCTAACCTACTTGGGACTGATAGCTGCCTGGGTCATCCTCCTTGCCCTTTATGAATATTTGCATGGTCTTCTAAGACTAAGAACTCTTTTTTTTCCCTCCAGAACTATAAGATATAATAAAATCAACACCCATTTGTAGGTAGCTTCAGCATGTTTTTTAAGGCTGCACTCTCTAAATTGTAAGAAGCTATTGACTGAAAATAAATAAKTTCTTAGCAATTAGAATTTAATGCTCTGAAGCAGAAGAGGTAAATTAGTTAGAGCTAGGCAGATCTATACAAAACCCAAGAATGGTGTCAGATTATTTTACCATCATRGGTTATACTGTGCTTTTCTGAGCTATGTATTCTGCAACATTTGGGACTGGTTCCACCCCTGAAAGTTCTTATAGTTCTTTGTTACAGGAGAGTGGAGTCGTTTCCAGCAACTCCATCTAAGATAACAAATGCCTGTCGTGTTCCTCTATCYGTAAATTTGCATTTACAAGATTTATAAGGGGCACTTTTTAATTTTGTTTGCTGCAGACAGCTCTCTAAAAAGAACTGAGGAAGAAGGGAAATAAATCCACTCTTTGTTGCTGAGGGAAAAAGTGCAGGAAAGTACACTTTCAGTAATCTTTCATCAGAGTCTGCTGTGCTTTGACCTTCGYATCATTCATTTATGTCCTGACAGTGATCACATCCTCTTGTTGCATGAGGTTAAATTTATCACATCTTTTAACACTTCCTTGCAACTCGTTAGGTAATTGATATAGAAATACAGTTTGTAATAATTAGGAAAACAATTTATGTGATAATGTTATATTCATACATTGCATGAGTATCTTTACTCTGAGTTAAATGATGCCAGTTATTATGGAAAGGATTTGGCCCTATATCTTATTCTATTGGTAGGTATTTTAGTAATGAAGCAAGAGGTRAAGATGGCCCCTTAAGAAAAATGAACCAACCTTTTCCTCCTTCAAAGACGATCTGAAATTTCCATTGTCCGCTCTTACACAATTTATTTTTCTAGGCTGTTCTTGGTGGTGTTGGAGAAAAAAGGTTTACYGCAGCACTAAATGAGTAATGTTATGCCTCCCTAAGCCTAAGTTAGGGACCCACGTGCAGAGGAAGCAGGAGCCAGAACTGTTGTTTTTCCCTGCTGTGACTTCTCCCTTCTTTTCCACTTAATTTCCAAGGCTTGACCAAACAGTGTGCCCATCAGTTAGCCTATGGTGTTGGCTGCTTTCATTCAAAGAGATGACACTTGTTAGCTAGTTATATAAATATGTAATAAAACTATGGTGTGATAGCTTGTGTTGGTGGCTTGTGATATAGTAAAACACAAATATCTCTAGGTCGTAACTGAGAACCTCATTCAAATGAGTTTAATTTGTTTCAGTTATTGCCATTGAGTTCTTATTACTGCCTGGCATATTGTTTCCTTAAGCAATAGGAAAAGGACTATTTCAACCCCAAGTGCATTTTTTTTATAATGTTTTGGGTGTGTGTTTTGGATGGGGGTGGYAGGAAGGAACATGAATACAGTATTAGCTGCTGCATATATTATAATGCATTTGTAATGTAATAAAACAATTATTTTAAATAGTGTCTTTCTCATTCAAAGCAAATTAAAAGAGTTTAACTGTTTAATGAGTTAAGTATTGGAGGGAAGTGCTCCAGTATCTGAGTCATTTTGTGTGCTCTTGACAAGAGTTAGGCAGAATGTTGATTATCAGAATTCATTGGATTGCAAAAAATATGCTTTGTCAGTCCAAAGGAACAGTTCTAATATACTGCTCTTCTAAAAAGGAATAGATTTTTTTTTTACACCTTTAAGCACACCTGGGAAGTCACCTTCAGCAAATGTAATCTAAAGTGCATCATGGGCAACACTGGATTTGCTAATATGATGTGTCCTTTTTCTCAGGGTTTCCTCACCCTGCCCTGTCTTTCCACTGTGCTTGTTTCTGTTTTATTTTAGAAATGATTCTGCAGTACTACTTGGATGTGCTCATAGGAGCCCACACAGTGTGAAGTAGGTGCAGCAAACTGCACAATCAAGTACATTAAATAAAATTGCACTTCCATAACAAAATATGACAGCTGTCGTTTAAAATAGAGAATTCGTTTTCCCCCAGAGCATCTCATATTTTGAGAGCACATCAAAGGAGATCTTTTCCTTTCCAAAAATCCTTTAAGAATAGACAATATAATGGAGGTTATTTTAATCTAGTTTAATCGCCTGTACATGAAGTGTCTTGGATAAGAACTTGAACTTTGTTTCTGTGTTTGGTGCCATGAATGGGGGGAGAAGGAGTGCTGGTAGTAGAAATTCTAGCAACTGACTCGCACTTCCATGGCAATAAAATTGGATGGAAATTTTAACTATTTATCTAGTTCTTAGGGCAACTTTTCTAGACCCAAAAACTCCATGCGGACTAGGCTTGAAGTTCTATATGACTTTGTGTTATGTTTGSATTATCGGGATGTATTCCAATATGGAGTATGTGCCAGAAAAATCTAAAATAATGTAGGTGGAATATAGAAAGTGAGTTTTCTTTGTTTTGACCTTTCCATAGTCTGTAAATTAGGTAAATCTGAAGTTCTCTGCATCAAAACATGAGGATTTTCAAGAATATTATTTCTCCATATATATGTATATGGTCTTGACTGAGAATGGTCCCAAATTTGGCTAGCCAGATAGAAATTTTAGTTTTTAGGTAATTTGTGTGTGTGTTATATTACTGAGGCTTGAATGTGTTAAAACACAGATGCCAAAGAATTTCGTAAATGCAGAACTCTAAGTTAAATTGGAATGATAATAAAGTCAAGCAAAAGGATATTTGGGAACAACTAGTTGAAGCATAAGAAATTTAAAGCAGAATATATTAAACATATAAGAAGCAGGAAACTTCTCAGTCAGTAGGTAGAACTGATAAATATTTGATGAATGAAGGGATAAAGTTGTAACAGAGAAGCAAAAAAAGTTGTACTTTGTTAATTTTTGAAGGTTAGGGGATTTATTGTGSCAGAATCTGTCACTGTCAAGCAAAAGTATCTATCAGCTAAATTATAAAGATCCATAAAATGAATAAAAACATTTTGCCAGGAAAAGATGGAAAGGGATGTGCTAGATGTCAAACTGTGAGTGACATTGGTGACTTCACTGCCCATTCTTATGCTCTCAGGCAGCAGATTTCACAGGGCAAATAAATGTTGCTGCAGTGTGTTTTAAAAGTGGACTCGGAGTGCTGGAACAGGTTAATGGAGGAAGATGCCACCCAGGGCTATTAAGTCAAGTTGTCCGGGTTTAACTGCTTTCTCATGAAGTTCTTAACAAGTTAGCTATTGAAAAGATATGGAGAGCACTAGCATTTCCAAAACAGGTGCTGACAGAGACAGGATGCCAAGCTGGATGAAATTCTGGTCTGAATGGCTCCTGCTTCTGTTRTGCTCTATTCACGAAGGAGCCAAGGGAAGAAAATGTGTAAAAGACTATAAATGCTCAGTAACGAGCTGCTGATTTTGGTGAGACTTTTGATGGGTTCTTACCACTGTTACCAAGGGTTAACATCTTGGGTAAGATGATATAATGATCTGAAAACAGAAGGAAAACTAATGCCAATAAAACATGTTGATATACTATGATAAACTGAAATTGCCAGGACAATGGTTTATTTCAAGGGGCATAAGATCTATTCTGTTTTCTTTTATATTTTTGCGATATTTTTCTTGGATTATTTTTTAAAAAATATTCTATAAATAAATGGTGCTATTCCTTCAGCTCTTCAAAACTTGGCCAAAAATTGTCAAGCAAAACCAGCTTTCTTAGCTATGTTAACTTTAGTGGGAGTTTTGCCTGTGAGAGGACTGAATAGATGGAGGGAGAAAAAAATCATAGGTTATACATATATCTATTTATACATATATACTGGGTCATAATAGAGTTCATCCCTTTGGAGGCCAGCCTCGCATGTAAAAATTGGAATATGAATAGACAAGTACTTGGACAACAATACCCAATTTACAGAATATATAGAACCTTTAGCTTTGTTAAATAATATTATATTTAATAAAATATTGACTGCCTGAAATTTGGAAAAATTACTTTGTTGTTGCTTATATTTTAAAATAGTCACTTAATATAGTTGAATATTTTTTCCTGTCACTCTCTAATATTAAACTTCATGTCTCTAAATGATGTGAGTTGGCTTTATTTTCCTCAGTCAGAGCCGTTAATGTTTGTTATTGATTCATGCTTAAAAAAAAAGGAAATGATGAAAGACTTCTTCAGAATACTTGAAATCCAATCTGATTTCTTCTTTTAAATTGGAAATACAATATACCTAGTGCTCTAGGATATGTATGTTTAAGTGCAAGTGGGTGGAGCATACATAACTTCCTGTTTTATTTGAATGCACAGACTCTGCATCTATATTTTATAAAGACTGGTGCTCTAAGTTGAGGCTAACATGGCAGTTTTGAAGTTGTAAATTATATTGCAAGAAAGGTATTATTAAAGTTAAATAAGTATCTCACAGCTAACTTGATCATGTACGTATTTCAGACACTTGCTATGATACTTGTACATGCAGTTCTGGCAGCAGTACCTGAGAGGAGCTTTTAGTGTGTTCTGAATTCCTATCACTTTCCCTGCAATACTAATTTTATCCTTGTGCATATGATTATATCTTAGCTAATGGATGAGTAAAAATACACAAGGGAGATGGTAAACAAAATGGTTTTCTTCCCTCTCTGTCTTAGGACTGTTAGAACATGTTTTTGCCTCTGCTTTAATTCAATTCTAACCACAAGGGGAAAGAGCATTTAACAGAAAGAAAGWTCTTTATTCTCTATGTCATATAATAATGTAATCAAGTGGGTAGAAATATATAGTCGATACAGAAATACTAAATTCTATTTCTGCTCTCAGTCATAATCTTTTTAAAGTATTCCTGGAAGGTGAAATGAGCTACTCTTACTTCCATTCTATAGTGAATAGTTTCACAAATAGTTATACTAAAACATAAAAGAAATTGATGCTTTATGGTTTAAAGAAAGATACTTGAGACTTTCTTTTAATAACATCCTGATCATCTTAATTTAAAATATTTGTAGTTCGGAAGCTTGTCCTGATTATGGCCATTGTATAGAACTCCTCACATCTACGGTGAGTAGGATTCCATGTACGTGCATGATTTGTAGTTTAAGTGGCACAAATTACAGTATTGTGGTATATCCTCACTACTTGTCTAATCACTTTCTCCCTGGTTTAATATTTGCACTATACTGGATATATYTTTCTCTGTGCTGTGAAGACCAAAATACAGGTAGAACTAACCTCTAATGGGGAGAGGGAAGAGAAGAATGAATGCCCAATAACGATTATTATGATTTCTTTTTACTTGAAAGCAAACACTGGAACTTGACTGCTTGGCAAATATTGCACAGGAGTTTCCACTGTTTTCRTGTTGAAGGATTAGCATATAAGAGATTATTCGATGCTTAGGTTYACCTTTCAGTGATCATCTACTTTGTTCTCAGCCTAATATGATTTACAGACGTCTACTGAGACACTATTTCATTCCAAAAGATTCATAGTTTGAGACTGTATAATATAAAAAGTGTTTTACTGTATAATTGGGCTAGAATGCATTTTATCTTATATTCCTGTGTATGCTATAGGTTACTGACAGTCTCTTAACTAATTCCTTTATTGTTTCCACTCAGTCTCAAACCTGTTAACATGCTGTTCCCTTTACCTGTTTCCTACTCCTATTCTTACCTGTTAACTTCTTTCATAACAACTTTTCTAGTGTTCCCCCTTGCAAACACAAGGCCTGCAGTTGCAGCTCTGCACTGAGGCCTGGGACTACTCGAGCAATCCTCTAGGCTGGCATAATCACTTTACTGGTACAGAAGAAGGTTAGGTTTTTCTTTAAAATATGATAACCATAAGTAGTTTAAAGTCAAGAAATTATAAGCATTTTAATCTCTGAATCAGGCAAGCTGCAGTATTAGGAACTGAAATGTTTTTAAATATACATATATATATATATAAATCATCCTGTTCTGTTTCAGACTCTAAAAAAGTGTTATCATCCAACTCGTTCAAGATGAACAGACATGAATGACTAAAAATCAATTTGCCTTAAAGCATTTCTCTTATTAAAGTTTTAATAAGAGCATTAGCAATTTACATTAATGATTTCTTTAGAGATGACCAAACTAGATAAATTAGGAGATAAATGAGTAAATGCAATAAATAATGCAGTGTTGTTGCATTTTGCTGTGTACTATATTCTTTAAACTGAGAAGGGCRTTTTAGTTTAATAATGAAAATAGTGCACCAGAATGTGTTTTGGAATATACTTKGTAAAAGAAAGGAAGCCCAAGTCATGGGAGAGCAAGCTTGCTTCAGCACRCATTTTCTGAAAAGGGGCCAAGAGCATTTTTGGATTTATGACATTTACAAAAAAGCTGCATTTATTCTGCAGTTCACATGGTGCTTCTCTTCTGTCAAATCTATCAATCTTTTCTCCATATTATTGTCCTTTTGTTGTCCTTTCTTTCCTATTTTCACTATTTTAATTGCGATGATTTGCTTAGAATTACTACTGATACTTGACTTTCAGTAATGTAGACTTCTACAGTGTTCATATCCCCAAATGTCTTTTAACGATGACTTATCCTACTGCAGAAAACAGCAATTTTTTGTCCTGCTAGTTTTTTGTCCTGCTAGAATTTATCCTTCTTAAAGCTTTATTTATTTATTTTTTCCTTCTGAGGGTTTATAGCCCCCTTCAGCAACCAAGTGCTGGTTGTAAAAACCATGTTTTAACATGGTTCACAAGCCACTGGTAAAAACAAAAGTTCTGGTAAAAAGAATTAGCTCTCTTACTTTTCCATSCTCTTGCACAAACTATTTTCTTCCACTATATCTATTATTTTTGCTGGAGGAGGAACGAACTCTATTAGAATTACAACTGACAGCTGTKCATGTATTGGCAAGAATAGTGAAGTCAGAATAAACTTCTCAACTTTACTTTTCTAGAGAAATAATGTATCTAACTCCCACAATGAAATTTCATCCTCTTACTGTGTGGCTGACTTGATGAGTCTTAGCTAAGAATAAGAAAAAGCTATAAAAGCACTGGAGGGTTTTCTTTGTTTTGTTTCTGTATTTTGAATAATAGGTAGCATGTTTGACATCRGGCTACAAAATGATTGGAGTGAGGATTTGGAGTGCAGCTGCAGTGATGCTATTTGGCAGCCTTATTGACACGTTGTATTGCCTTGGGCCAATGATTCTTTGCAGTTTTTCAGCCTTTTCTTGCAGTCTGTTTAGGGAGAAAGCACTTAATTATATCTACTTTTATGCTGGGCTTTTCTCCAGCCTCTGTCTCTCTTAACTTGTAGTGGCAATAGTAGCAAACTAGAGCAAGTAACTGTGTTGTTGACTAGTCAGCTCCTGGCAGCAAGTAGGGATATTTTCTTGCAGATCAAAAAAGATCCTTTATTGGGTACCTGCCCAAGGCTAAGTAGAAGGACTTATTTATTGTCTTATTGTTAGCTGCTTTTGTGTTTTCCTCACTTGATTCATCTGTTCTATTTGCCAATCTTAAATACATAAGCATCTAATTCTTAAATGTCTAGGAATGCAGAATTATCAAATATTTGTCTATTCTAATGCATCAAGTTCTTTTATAAAAAAAAAAATCCTCTTAGCATGCTAATATCTTCCTCCCTCTTCTGTGGCTTTGGTTTTGTTTTAATGGATCTAAGGTGATCTTTCTCTTGCCTTTCTTTTTCAAATTCTGATAATCTCTGCTTTTATGCTATACTTAAAAAAAAAAAAAAAGGCAACTTAAGAATAAGACAGGATTCTGCAGTGGGCCCCTCTTTACCACTTTCTGTTAAGATAAGTCAACATCAGCTCAAATATCCGATTTCTCTAAGGCAGTCAGGTTTTCATTTTGGGGAATTGGCCTCTCAATCTTTCTCCACATCACATGATAACTCCCATGAGAGTAAACATATTTGAGGTGCAATAAAGTCATTGTTTGGTCCAGCTGTTTGCCTTTATTTTTAAAATTTTCAGGACAAATTCTAATACAGTCCATTTAAAACCTTGCACATTCTCCTCTTTGCTGGCAGTACAACCAAGCAGAGCAAATGCYCCGTCATCATGTAGCTATGGTTCCCTGTCCCCACTTGCTTGTCTGGACTTTACCTAACAAATAATAAAGAATATTTATAAGAGCAAATGCTGCTGGATAAATTATTCTTTGAGTTGTTGATCTATCAGTTACTTGGTACAGTTAAATATTCTGGGTTACCTACATGAGTTTTGTGATTCAGATAGCGTCTTTATCACCTGAACTCCTTACGGGGTTGGAACAAAGCTGTGTTTGGATTCATGACACCTGTGGCTGTGCTGATCATGATGTTGAACTACAGTGAGCTTTTTTTAAAAATAGCTCAATCTTAGGCATGTGACATGTCTAGCAGAAATCACAACTTGAAAAACTATTATTGCTGGGAGGTAGGGAAGAGTTCCTGAGGTAAACTTGTGTCATTAGATATATAACTCATTTTAAACATCTCATTATTGCTGCTCTGTAAAATGACTTTTTTCCCCCCTCTGTGGTCACTAATAACGATGTCAGGCTTGCAGGAGCTGGAGTCTTTCATATGCCTAATTCTGCACTGCTTCAGCTTAATGTCTGGTCTGATGTCCTGACTTCATGAGCAGGTTTGAGGCCATTAGGTCTAATCTGAATTTTAGAAAGGCAGCTGTGCACTGTTGTGTAACAGTTGTCAGGAGCCTTCCTGTCATCTTGAAATGTTGTGGTCCTTAATGTCTGTAAAGGTGCACTCATCTGTGACTGAATCTCTACCTGTCCCTCTTCGATGACATGTGGGTTATCCTTTAGCTTGTGAATGATTACACTGGAGATGATTTTGTTTTTTTCTGCATGTGGCATTAAGCATACAAAGATTCTCCACAATTYAAGGAGTTGTTGGAAGCTTTTTTTGGTATGTGCTTGATGTGAATTCAAACATGGTTTGATTAAATCCTTCTGTAGTCTAAATATAGTTAATGACTTCAACCTTGGTTTTGAAGTGTTTGGAAGATTRTCTCTAAAACAGCCACAAGACTTTTAAATCTCTTTGTGTATGTGTAATTTTTATTGAGGAAATATTATTTGTTACATAAACTTTTAGACAGAAAAATCTTCCCCACGACTAATGAAAGAGCCTGTTCATTAATAAGTGCCACAAAGGGCCATGCATAACYCAGATCTCTCAATATTCTTTATTCTTCTTTAGACTTTGCAGCAATAGAGTAAACTTTAACATGCAAAGAAAAATGAAATAGCTTCTTTCTGTACCCCCACTTTGCAAGAAAACAGTACATACTGTAAGTACCGTGTACATAGAAGCATGGGGRAGGAGGAAAAAGAAGGCAAAAATAGTGTAAAATAAAAGTATATTAAAAACTCATTTCCTATCAACTTCTTGGTCAAACAACTTTTCTTCCATCCTGTTATAATAAAAGACAAAAATGCAGATTKTTGTTTCCTTTTCTGAATGAAAACTAAGTTGCAACACCCTTGTTGTGTTATTTYCTTGTGTCAGTCTGTTTTTAGGAAGGAGAATTAATATTACATAGACTTAAGGTTAAGAAATCATCCTGATACAGGACTCCCATATGAGAAGCTGCCACTTTTTTAAAAAAAGCCACCTCAGACAAATTTACCTTTTCTYTGTAAAATAAAGATAATCTTGTTAGGATATTTGGCATAATTTTTGGAATGTCAAGATATGAGAATTACTTAATTATAACTCTATTTCAAAGAATTTCTTAATAGAATTATGTAGAGACTGAAGTGTGATGTATTGTTGTGACTCTTCTTTCCTCTTTAATTTTTAATACTTGTTTTGTTTAATGTATGCCATGTTATGTTCAGTGTGGAGTGTGTGTTTTGGTCGCTTTTTGAAGCRGCTCAACATTAAATTCTGATAAGTAGAATAAACTTATCTTTGACTCATCACAAATATTAGTTATCTCTGAAGTAATGATTTGAACCAAGCCTATGAACTTTAGAAAACAGGAAAGAGTTGTGTGTGTGTGTTCCTTTTTTTTCTTTCTATCCCCCTTTCCTG